AACATGCCAGCTCTGGACTGCTCCATACCTGCAGCTCACCTCCAGCACCCACGGCTGGATAACTGCCACCTGTACTCTTGCGCAGCAGAAGTGTGCTGGGCCCGTAACCCTGTCGCGAATTATTTGTGGCGCTTTAGCAGAAATGCTCAGAGTTCCAGGTTCTTCAGTGCAGTGTTATTTATTGTGAGCTTTATATACAAATATCTACAGAAGCAGTTCATACAGTCAGACAGAGTACCTGGCTGCACCTTAAGGCAAATAGGAAGACTCTTTCTCTCTGACCACACTCCTCTACCCCACCACCTTACTGCTGGACAGGTTTCCCTTTTAAACCGATGACAGCCAATCAACTGTCAGCACATTACTGCTGAGTCATTCTGACCCAGCACCTCCATAGAAAGTATTGCAGGCTGATTGCATCAGCCTGTTGCATCAGCTCTCAACCTCAAGCCTGCAGACTTACTATCTCACACAGCATTCTGTGGATCCCAACAAGCCGTGCTGGTAATTCAGGGCTGATATGGGGGTAATTAGCCCTGGCAGACTCCCCAAGGTGGGGGAGGACTGTCTCGTAGACCCGCAGATTGTCCGAGACTGCCGACTTGCATCAAGGTGCAAGCGGCAGGACACTGGGTCGCACAGCACGATACGGCTGGCACTCTCCGATGTCATTCTCATAGCCGGGAATATCTGTTTGCAAAAACGAATAGATTTGGACAACAAACAGACATGGTTTGGACCGAAGAAGCCTAAGGAAAAACCTGCAGAATTGTACAGTCCCTGTGGGTTTAAGCTCGGACCTCAAAGAGATTCTCACCATGGCGTTTGAATTACAGAGGTGTTTGGTATGGTCCCCCCCCTTCTTAACATCTACAATTGGTTTTCTATGCCAAGCCTCAGTAAGAACTTAATATTATTATTATTTTTTAAAAGGACAGATGGACCTCTATTTATAATTAGGTATTTAATTCTGCAGCTTTACTTGACAAAGATGGAAGAGGAGGCAAGATGGCGCTTGTTAATATGACGCAGCATGGAAAAATGTGATTCTCTCCCTTTCTTCATGGGAAGCAGGAGCTATTTGTTGGCTGACTTTGCAATGATTTGAGATAACAACTTGGGACAGTATACAGTGCAGCTGTTTGCAGAAGTTTTTCATTATGAGCAAGAGAGAAGGCTAAATGGATGTCTAGCAGCCCCCCCTCTAGGGCCCGGAGGGGGAGTGTGCGGTCTCCAGAGGCTGATCGATCGCCAAATGACTGATATTTGTGGAATACAGTTTATTTACAATGCCATATTGCAAACAGTTTTGCCCAACAATTTAACGTGGAAGGTACTGATTCATTAAAGCTCAAAAGAAAGGTTTGGACAAGAGCCTGGATTGGAAGGAGTAATGACTGGGAGTTGCTGCGGCATTGAACTTCCGATAACAGACTTGGATAACATCCCGGATTGGAATGGAGTCAGAGGAAGCTGCGCTGGTAAAAAGGCAGTTGGAAAAATATATACATACAAATAAAGCTGTATTCGATGGATGGAAGGATATATGAAGTTTGACATGATTGAGAATTGTGGAACCAGGGACGGAGAATATTAAGGCGTTAAAATCGGGATGTGGAAAATATGGAAACAACGAGGAGAGGCAGGACTGAGATGTGGAGATATGCTTCAAAAGTCAAGACTATGGGGAGCTCCCATATGGGGATGGTTCTCACATTTCCAAGTCAGACTGCACTGTTAGAAAGACATCTCAGGGTAGATCCAGAATCTGTGGTTTTGGATGTCCAAAAAATTGCAAGGACGTTATTGCCCCTGTGAGATGAAACCAAGCTGACTGGGGAAATACTTAGTGCTCAAAAACCCCTCAAAAATATGGAGCGGGCAGAAGCCCAAGCATCCAATTACACTTGGGGTAAGAGCAGTGGCGTGCGGTTAATTTTTTCGTAGGGGCACCAGTTTGCTAGGGCGATGAGGGGGTCTTGATGTTGTGTCCGTGAGTATTGAGCCTCCTTCCCTAAGCTGGGCAGAAGCTTCCGGGGCTTTGGGAATGAGGCACCAGGCTTCTAACAGGATGCTGGAGCTCTGCTGCCTCCTTACTACAGCTAGGTGGGCTTTGGGAAGGTGGCGGGAGGGCTCTTGGACCCTTCAGAGCATCACAATCAGGCTCCTGGATAAAGTGAATCAGCAACCTGATTGGCCTGCAGGAGCAGCCTGGAATTAGCCAATCACGCGGGGCCCATTGTGTAAATAACGTACAGTCATACCTCGGGTTGAATTTGCTTCAGGTTGAGCGCCTCCGGGTTGTGCTCCGCGGCAACCCGGAAGTAACAGCGCATTGCTTTTGGGTTTCACCACTCGCGTATGCGCAAACGCTCAAAATGACATCACGCGCATGCGTGGAAGCGGCAAAACACGACCCATGCACGCGCAGACGAGCCATCACGTCTTACGTTCTAATCAAGATGCAAACGGGGCTCCGGAACGGATCCTGTTCGCATCCCGAGGTACCACTGAGGTACCTAGCCATTTGGGGGAAAGTTTCGTTCATCGCTACTATGAGTTGAATAAAGAGCATGAAATTCACACTCAACTCTGAGTATATTTCATACTTGTTCTAAGTTGTAGAGCAAACCGGAATCCTCCAACATCCATACTCAAAGGGAAAAACTTTTCTAACACTTATTAATGAGGACGAGCTAATTTGTTAAGCTGAATGATGGGTTGGGTCTCTGAATGATGATTCTCCAGAGTTTATGCTATTGCATTCTATTAATTCTGGAGGGGGAACCTGGTTGAGTCTTCCTTGGACCCTGGAGATCACCACTCTTAAGCAGAGATGAACAAAAGCTTCCCTTGCATCAGAAAACACAGAGCTAATCTCCTCAGCAGATGAAGGAGGCCAGTTTCGTCCTATGCAGAGCAAGTCCACTTCCTTTGTTCTTCACATTGACAGGAGCAAGAGAGCAAACAGGAAGTGCCTTTACTTAAGTAAGTGTGAATATTCTTATGTTTTTGGGGTGGGAGCAAGACTCCCCTAAAATGTCTGGATTCAGTGAAGGGTTAGAATGTAAGGAAACCCCTAAATTCCCAGGCCTAATGGGGGCTTGAGTTTAAAGCGGTTTTTCCATGTCCAGGAAACACCCATTAAGAAGGCCATTTTCTGTCTGGGCTGGACAGAAAATGGGGAAAGCCCTCGCTGAGGTAAGAGATGATTAGCAGAGACAAAAGGACAGAGTTTCAGGAGGGGGGAGCAGAACTGCAGTGGGCAATGAGGTCAGCAAACAGGAAAGAATTGTCCCTTTTTGAAGCTGGAGAGTGGGGGGCAAAGCATGAAGCAGGCAGTCTGTTTCAAGCTGCAGCAGAGGTCAGACATGATATTTGGAGTCTCTTGGAATCTGAGGCTGCAGCAATGGAAGAAACAGGACCCTCTTGGGATGTGAATGCTCTGATCTCTCTCCATCTAGACACAGGTTGCATAGATATGTAAATAAACCCTGTATCTTAAAGAGATCACGGACTCCACTTGGCCTCATTGTTCCAAAAGTAAACATGCCTGGAGTTGTAAACAAAAATTGCCGTTTTCCCTTATGGGGTATCCAAGAGCCCATATAGAGTCCTTACGTAGGTTCCCTATTGGTAGGAGAGAATAACAGAAGCCAACCAGAGAATATTGAGAAGCAAAGCAGCTAGTAAGCCTGATCTTTATTGATCTGTTGCAACAAGGTCCTTACTCACCACACAAAGGAGGGAGGAGGAACCCAGAACAATGGCACGCAAGGCCTTATATGGACTTTTGAAATTGCCACCCTGTACATCAAGACCACCCCTCAGATACATCATACCTACATCACAGAAAAGGCGATCTAAAACAAAAATGTGAATGTTGTTTTTCTCCTGTCTGGCAGGTTACTTGATTGGATACCTGCTTACTAGATTGGATTGCCTGGGGAGCCTGGCCAGTCTTTTGTAATGATAAATACTTAGTTCCTGGGCCAGGTCACAGGCTCACACCCTATTCAAAATAAAAAAATTCCTTCCAGTAGCACCTTACCCTATTCAAACACAGACATACCCTTAAGACAGGATTTGTGAAGGAAAAGACAATGGGGAGGCTTTTCCATTTTCCTTTGGCCTTGCAGAGAAAACATTTGGTCAGTTTGGGAATCAAAATGGTTTCAGGTTGGTCTTCCTGTGCTGATCTATGTACATGCTTGGTTGGTACACTTATGAACATTACCATATATCTAAGACCTCAAAATTCCTATCACACTGGTACCTCTGGAATCTCTCACTGCTCATAGATTGGTGAAACAATGTGTTACCCACTTAAAAGCTTCTAACATCCAAGAAACCTATTGAGGATTTTTTTAATGGTTACTAATCGGTATCTGCTGAATTCACTCAGTACAATTAAAGCACATGCCTATCCCCAAAGACTTCTGGGATCTGTATTTTACCACTCATAGAGAAGCAATTCGCAACACCCTTAACAAAGTATGGTTCTCAGAATTATTGGGGGGGGGGGAGAGACTTACTATGTTTTTCAGGTGTGCTTTAAATGCTTGGTGTGGATTTGACCTTTAGCCCAATGTGATGAAAAAACCACCTGTACCCTAAGGCCCTTCACCTTCTAATCCAGAGTCTTAAAGTCCCTTGCTATGTCAATGTCTGGCAGTATCTCAAAAACAGACATGGAGAATATGATATGAGGAGAGGAAAGAGGGATTTCCGCATAGTTCAGTTTGGGCAGCTAGCAAGCAGAGGGTGGAGAATTTACTAGCCTAAACATTTCTTCTTCTTGCCCCTACGGCAGATTTAGCCTAATGAGTCCTGGGAATGCAACAGACTTCTCTGAGTTATTCCTCCATGGCTTTCCAATCCAGTCAGAGTTTCAACGGCTTCTCTTCCTGCTATTCTTCTCTATGTACCTGCTGGCCTTTCTGGGGAACGCAACAATCATCTTCTTGATCCGTTCTGATTTACGGCTCCTCCAGGCTCCTATGTATTTCTTCCTTAGCCACCTTGCCTTAGCTGACTTGGGCTTCACCTCCACCACCATCCCCAAAGTGCTAGAAAACTTGTTGTCTCAGAAAAAGACCATCTCCTATCATGGCTGCCTGGTCCAGATGTACTTTTATGTGTGTTTTGGCAATTCAGACAGCTTCCTGTTGGCTTCCATGGCCTATGACCGTTACGTGGCCATCTGCTTCCCCCTGCGTTATTCTACCCTGATGAACCGTAAGCGTTGCCTCCTCCTAGCAACAGTGTCCTGGGTTATCCCTATTGTCCACTCTCTGCTTTATACCATTTTGATGTCCCACATGTCTTTCTGTGACTCTAGAGAGATCCCACATTTCTTCTGCGATCTTTACCCTGTGTTGGAGATCTCTTGCTCAGACCGCAGTGTCATAGAAATGCTGATTCTGACTGAAGGGTCGGTGGAGGTCCTGGGGCCATTTTTGCTGATCGTCATCTCCTATATGGGCATTTTCTACACCATCCTGAAGATTCCATCCAACTCTGGAAAGAAAAAGGCTTTCTCCACGTGTGGGTCCCACGTTGCTGTGGTGGTCTTGTTTTATGGCACTGTGAGCTGGATTTATTTCAAGCCACGTTCCAACAACTCGGATCGCAAGGACACTGTGGCTGCTGTCATGTATACCATGGTGACCCCTATGCTGAATCCCTTCATCTACAGTCTCAGGAACAGTGAAATGAAAGCAGCCTTGAAGAGGATCATTAGGCGCCATTTTCATTAGTGTCTTTTGCTGTCACTCCTTATAGTAGCAGGAGTGGGAGCCAACATCACTTGGATAGCAGAACAAATATATTAACCCTAATACTAATTCAGGAATTATTTTCTTCCTTTTGAAATCTCCAGTTCAGCAAAAAGAAACTTCAAATAAGTATAATTGGTTTGATAAAGAATGTATCAACCATAAGAAAGAACTCAGAGCCTGTCTAAAAGAAGCCTCTATCACTAACTCCCAAGGTCTCTGGAATACCTATTTTGAAATGAAAAACGCTTTTAAGAACATGCTCCTGGAAAAAAAATCTGTGTTTTCACAAGCCAAATGGTCTAAAATTGTCACTGCATTAGAAATTAAAGATACCATAACCTTTTGGTCACTCCTTTCATTAAAAGCTATCACTGACTTTCCTAATATAAGTGATGAAGCTTGGATTACGCATTTTACCACTGTTTTTTATGATTCCCAAGTTTTTAAGATGGAAAATTTTAAATCTTCTTCAGCAATAACCACACAATTTCAAATTAATGTTGTGGAGATGAAAAAGATAATTCTTTCATTAAAGCAAGGAAAATCCCCTGGTATGGACGGCATCTCAATAGATCTGCTGAGATTAAATGTGGAATAGTGGGCCACTAATCTTGTCTGGCTCATTAACTCTATTAATCATTTAGGCCTTGTACCTAAATCATGGAATAACTCAATAGTGGTGCCGATTTTTTAAAAAGGTGATAGGAATTGCCAAGAGAATTACAGGCCTATTAGTTTGTTACCATGCATAAGTAAAATCTATGCCAAATTCCTGCTTATTAAACTGGAAGAATCGATGCTTACAAAAGGTAAGGAACAAGCTGGTTTCAAGACAGGTTCTTCAACTCTTGACCAGTATCTAGTGTTAAGTCATCTTGTAGACAAATATGTCTTGAGAAACAAACGAAGACTTTTTGTGGCATTTGTAGATTTAAAAAGTGCCTTTGATTCGGTCGATCGTAATAAACTGTGGACCAAATTAAAACACCTTGGTATTGTCCCATACCTGCTTACATTGATTCAAAGTTTACACTCCAATAACCAAATATATGTTAAAGTTTCAAAAGATGGTAGATTTGTAGGACCAATTCTGAATAACCAAGTAGTTAGGCAAAGCTGTATCCTGGCCCCTACCCTATTTAATCTCTTTTTATCTGACCTTTCATTATTTCTTCAAAATGTAACCACTCATATTCCTTATTTAAATAATATCCCAGTTTTTTTAATTACTTTATGCAGATGATGTGGTAATTATCTCACTTTCCTCTTTAGGCTTAAAAAAAAATATTTAAGAGCTTTTCAAACTTTTGCTCTCTTAATAACCTCAAAATTAACTATGATAAGACAAAAATTATGCAATTTACAAAGAGAGGGAACCCAAAAAATTGGATAATCAATGGACATCTAATACAAGAAATTAAGCATTTCAATTATCTGGGAGGTGTGTTTAAAAATAACATGAATTGGAACACACATATCTGTGCTGCAATGGCTAAATCTAAAGTGACAGCTCACCATATTAAATCCTATTTTTTCTCTCCACACATATCTGTGCTGCAATAGCTAAGGCTAAAGTGACAGCTCACCATATTAAATCCTTTTTTTTTTTCTCCTGTAGGAAATAGATATATTCCAGCTGTATTGCAAGTGATTGATATGAAACTTTGTGCCCAACTTTTATATGGCACCCCAGTGTGGATTTCAGGTGACCTTAAGAGGTTGGATAAATTTCATGCATTCCTTCTGAGGTCATTATTAGGACTTGCAAATTCTATTGGATATGAATCAATATGTTGTGAGTTGGGATAAACTCCTGACCCAGTCTTTTGTTGATCAATACTTTTCTATGTAGCCTTATCACATGTGTTTCCTGTAGACAAATCAAGTCCAATTGTTCCTTTTTTAAGAAATGAAAAACTCTTTTCCTTTTCTGGGGGGAGTTGAGACCATTGGTATTCCAGCTTAATAGTTGCAGAGCCATGATGTAGTTACTTTACTTTTCCTCCAACTGCGCCAAGTGCCTGTTCCTGCTCTGTCGGTGGTATCACCTTCTCTGGGCAGTCCAGTCCAAAACTTTGTGCCCAACTTTTATATGGCACCCCAGTGTGGATTTCAGGTGACCTTAAGAGGTTGGATAAATTTCATGCATTCCTTCTGAGGTCATTATTAGGACTTGCAAATTCTATTAAATATGAATCAATATGTTGTGAGTTGGGAATACTTCCTTTATCAGTAAGAGTATGGCTGAGAACCTTGGAATACTGGATCTTCCTGCATTATAGAGCCCTATCTCCTAACTCTCTCCTTTACGACCTCTTAAGTGATAATGTAATTTACAGTTTATCATTGATTTGTAGGAGAAAATTGAACTCAATAGGGCTTCATCTAATTGACTTTGAAAATTCTGACGCCAAAGATACCTGGGAAATTATCAGGAAGAATTTTACAGGAAAAAGTGTTCTCTCCACTCTTGAGGTTGCAAAGCACAGCACTTGCTCTCCTCTCTATTTAAATCTCCCTTTGTGTAGAGATTTTCAAAAGGGTTACATGACAAATCTGAAGAATCATGAACTGTGCAGGCTGTTTATGCTAGCCAGATTTAATATGTTTCCCTTGATGATAGTAAGAGGAAGATATTTAGCTCTCCCAGAAGCAGAGCATCTCTGCAAATGTGGTAGGCAGGAACCTGATACATTGGAGCATATTTTCTTTTCTTGTGATTTTGGCATTTATGCCGGAAGACAATTATTAGAGGCTTTACAACTTAACAGGCTCGGTTCTATGCCACCAACGGTTCAGGACCTGCTCTCAGACAGGAATGATCAAATTACTTTAATAGTGGCTAAATTTTTGTGTGCTGTCCATGTGGAAAGACTGGGCCATTATAGAGAGATTTAGTAGTTCTTGATTGGTCAGTGATGTGGTAGTGTTATACTGTATTATTTATGCAAATTGTTATGCTGATTTTTCCACAATCTGTATACGGTGTTTGTTTTATAATGTGGGGTTTGATATGCCTAATAAAGGATTGATTGACAAAAAAGTAAAGATCAGCATCATAATCTTACATTTGCCTTACATTAAAAATCACTCCCCTGTAAGTAGTAACCAGACTTCAAATAGATAATTAAATCTTCCAAGAGTAGATTTATGATTCAGGAATAGTAAAGGCAACCAAATGGTCTTTGCATTATTCACTCACACAGTGTGTTTCTCAAACTTGGGTTTCCAGCTATTGTTGAACTACAACTCCCACAATCCTTAGCTTGCAGGACCAGTGGTCAGTGGTGATGGGAATTCTAGTTCAACAACAACTGGAGACCCAAGTTTGAGAAACACTGACTCAATGACTGCATTGTTGCCCATATATGTGTAATCTTCCTGCCCAAGACAGCACCCATTTAGAATCATAGAATCATACAATTGCTGAAATGTAGAGTTGGAAGGGACCCTGAGGGTCATCTAGTTCAACCCCTTGCAATGAAGGAATCTCAACTAAAGCATTCATGGCAGATGGCTATCTAACCTCTGCTTAAGAACCTCCAAAGAAGGAGAGGCCACCTACGTCCAAGGAAGTTCGTTCCACTGTCTTCAGAAAGTTTTTCCAGATGTTTAGCTGGAATCTCTTGTAACTTGAAGCCATTGGTTCAAATTGTGCCCCCTGGAGTAAGATAAAACAAGCTTGATCCATCTTCCATGAGATAGCCCTTTAGGTATTTGAAGATGACTGTCATGTCTCCTCTAAAGGGGGACTTTGTCAAAAGCCTTACTGAAATCAAGACTCTCTACATCCACAGCATTCCCCTGATCCACTTGTTACGCTATAAAATAAAATAAAAAATGAGATTTGTCTGGCATGACTTGTTTTTGAGAAAGCCATGCTGGGTCTTAGTAATCACAGCATCCTTTTCTAATTGCTCACAGACTGATCAAGTACGATAATTATTTGTTCTAGGACCTTTTCTGGTATCAGTGTCAAGCTGATTGGTCTTCCTCCCACCCCCCTTTGAAGATGGGGACAGAAATTGCTCGCCTCCACACAGCAGGGACCTCACTTGTTCTCCAAGAATTCTCAAAGATTATAGACAGAGGTTCTGAGATTACATCCTCGAGCTCCTTCTAGGACCCTTGGTGCAGCTCATCATTCCCTGGAGATTTGAATTCATTTCAAGTAGCTGGGTGTTCCCTTACCATATTCCTATTTTGTTCTTCAGCTCCCTCCTTGCATTGCTGGGCACTGCTTTCATTTCTCTGTAATAAACCAATCTTCCTCTATTTCGTGGTGTGCAAATTCTTTGTTGGGCATAAGGGTAAAAGTATACACCCATTTTAAATGGATGCATGCAGTGACTTCACAGGAAAGTTTCCAATCCTCGCAGAGTTGTACAATTAAAATATTTGTAATGCGTGAGCCAGGGCCAGTGCAAGACCTTTGGGCTTGTGACGTGAACCACAAAATGGTGTCCCCCTTGGGGAAGAAGGAATGAGTGAAGATCTAGATCAGGAAGGAGCAGCAGTGGTCAATTCATTCATTGGAGGCCAGATCTGCCTCCCCTTGGATCCTGCTGCCTGAGGCAATCGCCTCACCTTACTTCATGGGTGGGCCAGCCCTAGTGTGAATATCTTGCCAGCTGGAGTGTGTGTAGCAAGTTTTGAATATCAGAACATCACACATTAAATGCTTCCCGATACAAGGCTGCCTTCAGATGTCTATGGAAGGTTGTAGAATTATTTATCTTTTTGACATCTGACAGGAATTCTACAAGGTTGGCACCACTACTCAGAAGGCCCTCTGCTAGGTTCCCTGTAACATCATTTCTCACAATGAGGGAACCGCCAGAAGGCCCTCGGAGCTGGACCTCAGTGTCTGGCAGGGCTGTCTTAAGCATATCTGGCGCCGTGGTTCAAAGATCCCTCTGGTGCCTCTCCCCCCCCCCCCCCGTTTCCCAGAGTTGCTCTCCTCCTGCGGAGGCTTGGGAAGGAAGCTGCATGCCCACCAGCCATATGGTTGACGGGGCACAGCTGGTAGGTGTGCAGGGAAAGGGGAGGCCGTTGGCAAAGCCACACAGCTCCCCCACTCGCTGGGGCACCCCTGAGAGGCCAGCGCCCTGGCGCAACACACCAGTAAGCCCAATAGGAAAGATGGCTCTGGTGTCTGGGCTGATCAGATGTGATTCTGGATAGCTCTTGTGTCTGTACCGGGGGAGGGGTGGAGCTTATTCAATTTGCACATGAGCAAATACGTAAAAAGAAAGTTGGCACATTAGCCAGAGTTAGACACATGCCAGGTGTCCTTATATGTCCAAATTTTATAATTGTGCAGCTGGTGATTCCCACCTAAGTGTAGAATCTTACATTTTTCAAAACTGTTAAGGCCATCTTGAATCCTGATTCTGTCTTCTGCAATATTAGCTACCCCTCCCAGTTTGGTATCATCTGCGAATGTGATGAGCATCCCCTCAATTCCTTCATCCAAGTCATTGATAAAGACGTTGAACAACAGCAGGACCAGGACAGAATCCTGGAGCATCCCACTTGCCACTTTTTTTCCAGGAAGACAAGAAACCATTAATGAGTATTCTTTGGGTTGGGTCAGTCAATCAGCTACAAAATCCACAAGCATATCATTTTTTTAATGCTTTATTGAAACTGATTAATAACAAAAACAATCTTGTGTATTGAATATACAAATAAAAACTAATTTAATCCTATACAATCCCTTTCACCATACATTCTTATGATACAAAAGACTTCCCGTCAGCTCCCAATGTATTTACCATTTCTGTTATTGAATGTACTTATAATTATTACTTTATTCTTTTTATATTATCTATTTTTTTACAGCTTTTCCTTATTTTTTATTGCTATTTTACACAGAAATTTCAGCCTTACTGAAATCAAGGTACACTGTGTCAACAGCATTCGATCAACCCTGCAGCACTATCAAAAAGAAGAAATGAGATTCATGTAGCATGATTTGTTTTTGAGAAACCCATGTTAGATCTTAGTAATCACTGCCTTTTTTTCTAAGTGCTCACAGACCGACTGTTTAATTATTTGTTCTGGGACCTTTCCAGGCATCAACAGCAAGCTGACTTCCTCCCAAGCTTCCCAGTACTTCTACTTTGTCAATCAGTTCTACCCTGTCAAGCCTTATGGATTAAGTAGAGGTTTCACAAAGCTCACCACCCTATATCCTCCATGTTGGTAAAACACACCAACCCCAAACTGAAGAAAACATTGCACAAACAAATCTACCTGACAGGCAAAGATTGGAATGTGCATGACTGGCCTTTGTCTCAGTCCCTGATCTGCAAACAGGGGAGTAATAATAAAACTGACCTACTTATAGGTTTGTTGTAAAGATGACTTTGAAGATCATGCATTGTATTATTTTCTGAAATTTCCTCCGAAAGCTCATCCTTAGATATGGCGTATGTCTGGGGTCCCCAATGTGGCTGTGGGCATCATAGTACCCTCACAAACAAGGCCCCATGTCCCTCCCATGTTTTTTAAAAATAAATTGAGGAGGGCTTTTTGGATGGGAGTTATTTGATACGGAGAAGTTTGGATTTGGATTTGGTATCCCGCTTTATCACTACCCGAAGGAGTCTCAAAGCGGCTAACACTCTCCTTTCCCTTCCTCCCCCACAACAAACACTCTGTGAGGTGAGTGGGGCTGAGAGACTTCAAAGAAGTGTGACTAGCCCAAGGTCACCCAGCAACTACATGTGGAGGAGCAGAGACGCGAACCCGGTTCCCCAGATTACGAGTCTGGTTTTTTTTGTGGGAGGATGTTTTCTACTTGTTTTGCCTATTTGGAGGGGGCTGTTCTGAGACTTGCCAGTTTCTCTTCTGTGAAAAGGGTATTTTCTGGTGCCCATAACAGTTTCTTAGATTTCCAGCTATGCTCTCAGGCCCCCAAAGGTTGAGGACCTGTGTCATAAGTTATCTTTCACTAAAGTGGAAAAGTGAGTAAACGTTTGGTTGGAAAATCCCCTGTTGGCTGTATGGATGGACTTGGAAATTTCATACCACAGAACCTGCAGTGCGGTGCTCTAATTTTGATTAACAACTTCCCTGTGGAGTTATGCTCTCCTGCTGCTTTTGTCCTTGGCAACCAAAGCCCACGCCACTGAAATGCTCTCCAGTTTGATACAACGTTTATATGCTCTTCTTTGCTGCTGCTTCAGTTTATTTACTTCAGTGAAACCAATGTCCAGATATGAACTTCCTGACAGTAAGAGCTGTTCGCCAGTGGAATTTGCTGCCAAGGAGTGTGGTGGAGTCTCCTTCTTTGGAGGTCTTTAAGCAGAGGCTTGACAACCATATGTCAGGAGTGCTCTGATGGTGTTTCCTGCTTGGCAGGGGGTTGGACTCGATGGCCCTTGTGGTCTCTTCCAACTCTATGATTCTATGTATGCAGGCCGTTCTTGCCCTTTCAACTTTGCAAGCATAGCTGGGATTTTCATTACCATTTAGCATGATCGACAGTTGATTACATTTATCCTCTGCTCTCTGACTTATTTTCTCACCGGAATTCCTGCTTCCCATCGGTTCATTAATTTCACATTGAAATCTAAAGGTCCTGTTTTATGCTGATTGCCGCCTTAAGCTAGTTGCACAATCTCCAATTGCTTTCCCTCCATATAGGAAAGCAGAAAACATTTTATCATCATCGTCATTACTATCCCTTTGTCAAACTACCAAGATTCAACAAGGTGAGTCTGAACCTTGTAGGTAATATTCTGCTATGTTTCCAGGGTGGTGATTGATGCAGCACAAGGTGACACGATACAGCAGAGATGGTGACCCTGTGGTCCTCCAGGTGTTTCTGGACTGCCATCATCTCTCATGCTTGGGCATACTGTCTGGGGCTAACGGGAGATGACGTCCAACAGCATCTGGAGAGCCACAGGCTCCT